TGGGGTTCAGCAGTCTGCCAACAAGTCAGCTACTGACTCTGGTGCCTCTCAAGTTTGGAAACCAGTCCTGTTCATCTCTTTTAGCTTTCAGAGGTACTAGGAAATAAATACGGGAATTGGTTGTTGGGATTGACAGCTCTTGCTTTTACCCTCTCTTACACTTTTGTGCTTGCTTACGGATCACACTTGCCACAGTCGGTTTTATTGGTCTTGAAGAATGTCCTCGATGGGCTATAGCTAAGTGGTAGAGCCCTTGTTTAACATGAGGAAGATCCTGGGCTCAATCTTTAGGACTGGGGGACAGGGGGAAGCTTCATTTCATTATCCTCTTTTATTTTGAGCCCAGGCTGACTCTCACTAACCCTCAATTTCTCAAGTGCTAGGATTTACAGGAATGTTCCACTCTGCCAGACTCATTATCCCGGTTTTGTTTGTTTTTGAGACGGGGTCTCACATAGCCCATGCTGGTGTCAAACGGCAATGTAATGGAGAAACACCTTGCACTTGAACTTCTGATTTCCTGCCTCTACCTCTTGAATGCCCAGCTTATGTGGGGCAGGGAATTGAACCCAGGGCTTTGCGAGTACTACAAAAGCCCTCTACCAACTGAACTACACCCCCACCCCTACCCCTGTTATCTGTTTCTTTGAGTCAGCTTTGCCACGAATGTTTTGTCTTGCTCTTTTTACAAATTTATTTCTTTGTTGTGCTTAAAGTTTATTTTGCCCCCCCCCATTTAAACAAACGCACTCAAGGCAATAATGTCTCCTTTGAGCCTGGTTTGGCGAGCATGTTTTGATAAGTATTTGGTGTTCCTGAAACCGGGAAGTTGTTGCTCTTTTGAACCAGCACCTAAGTGTGGGAGGGAGATTCAGATTCTCTGAGCTAGGGAACTGGGGTCAGGATTCTTGGGGGGATTTAGAGACTTCCAGGCTGCATCAATCTTCTCCTGGTCTCAGGGAGTGAAGCTGGAGAAAGGGTGGTCTTGCAGGGGGTGGGTGGGGAGAGGTGCTATAGGATATTCGGAGCTTCAGGAATGAGTGGCAGGATGCTGGAATTGCCAAGTGGTCCATGAGTCTGGACTGAGGCAGCACAGATTCTCCAGTCACTGACTTCCTGTGTGATTTGGGATTTAATTTTCCTGCCTTTAAATGGAGTAGGGATTGAATCAAGGCCCTTAAGTGTATTTGGGCCAGTTATCCTATTTGAAAGACTGAGGGAAATATTAGTCTACTTCCATAGAAGGCGTAAGCACATGCTTTGGCACACACATCATGTTCCAGGCTCCCGACCTGCTTACTACACATCCTACGTCAGAGCTCTAGGGTCCTTCAGGATCCTAGGGTCCTCTAGTTTTTGCGATGGAAAATAACCGCTGACCCAACTTCTCCAACAAGTATTTACTGAGCACATAAATTTCCTAGCTATTCAGACTTTCATACTTACTTTCTCTATCTGAGAGTAGGAGCAGGGAAATCATAGCTTCTCACAGTGGGGAGGGCTCTGGGAAGAATGCACCTGGGATCTGAAAAGGCTCCAGGCTGCCAGCTGGAAGGAAAAATGACCTTAGGTGGTGGGTGGACACGAGACCTCACCCCGGAGCTGGTGCTTTTCAGCACATGTCCCTGGGGAGGGCTGGAGCTGGGCCATCTTTTGACCGACTGGACTCTGAGGTCCACTCTTCCTTTCACTCACTTCTTCTATACCTGGGGCGGGCCTGGGTGAAGGAGCCAGGTGTGGAGGTGAGGGCTGGTGTGTGTGTGTGTGTGTGTGTTCTGCTGCCTGCCTCTCCTCCTGGCCTGAAAGCTCTTTTAGGACACCCATTCAGCACAGGGCCTCACTCACTGGAGGGCCATTACGCTTATGGTGTGACGCTAGGACAGATGAGGGAATAAAGAAAAAAAAAAAAAAGGAGAGAACTGGGGCTCGGAAATTTGTAGACTCTGTTCAGCTCATCCCATGGCTGGACCCTTTGCATCCTTTAAGATCCAGCCAGCTCTCACCTCCCTCAATTCCACAGCATCCCTGGCCACAGACCTTCTCTATCCCAGCCTGTGGTCCTCACTGGAGTGCTGCATCTGACTTGCCGACAAAGCCCGCCAGCTCCACGAGGGCAGAGACTTGGTCTCATTAATTGGCTTATTGTGGATGAGTAAAGGAGCAGGGGTTCTCGACCTTCCTGATGCTGCGACCCTTTAATACAGTTTCTCACGCTGTGGTGACCCCCAACCATAAACTGTAATTTTGCTGTTTATGAATCGTAATGTAAATTTTTTTTTGGAGATGGAGGTTTGCTGAAGTTTTCATGACTCACGGGTTGAGAACCATTGATGTAGATGAAGGGCTTCTAGGGTCCTGAGGCTTGGTCAGTTTCAAACTATGGCCTTGAGTGGCTAAGCCTGGAAGGGAGCTAATGCTGGCAGCAGCATGAGGCTGCAGGATATTTTTTCCCTAGGGGCTGGTAGGTGCTGGAGGGTGTTGGAGCTGCGACTAAGTGCAGATGGCAGGCTGTGCGGGGTGGGAGAGGTGGGGCAGTCCCTTTGGGCAAGCATATGCTGCAGTCTCGTCAGGGACCTCCAAGCATCACCTCACACCCGTTTCTGTCCCTCACCCATCAGCCATTTCCCCCCACTCTGTGTTCTACAACTTTGCTTCCTTCCTGACAAATTTTCTCTACTGAATTTGACTTCGTTTCAACCCCTTTGTTGGGCAAATTACATTAAGATGGATGTTGCAGGTACCCTTTATGGCTTATTTATTGTGATACTGTTTGTATCTCACGCTTATAAATAACTTATGTTATAGCTTTTGTTTGTGGAGATGTAACTTACATATTTTATTACGCTTTCTGTAAACCTCAAAAAGAATCTTGTCAAGGGAAGCGCTCTTATCAGCAATCCAAACTGTGGGACGTAAAACCCGACACTAACATTATTTTTTAATATGCCAAGGAGGCAGGTTACTCTTGCTGTAGTTGGAAAGGTTCACTTCCTCGTAAACTTGCACCTCAATAAAACATTAAAAAGTCTCAAGGACGATTTTATGAAGTCCAGCAGGAGGATGAATTAATGGCAGGCTCACAGACGCGGCTCAAAGTGTCTTATTAGACTGGCTTTTTTCTTGAGGTATCTAGTCCCATGGGTTGTGGAGTCCAAAGGGTCCCTTGTCTGCCTCTTCAGTACCAGCCACAGAGGACCCAATTTGGGATTAAGTAGAAAAAAAGTACAGGTGCAGTTAGGAAATCTAACTGATTCCCGGCTCAGGCTGCTAGCTGGAGGGGAAAAATGGCTCCAGGCAATGGGTTCTGCTTGAGGACTGAGGCTTCAGGGGCGATTACTATAAGGATGAGAGGCCCTTGACCAACAACCTGCAGCTGCTGAGGGCGAGAGCTAGGATGTGCCTTGAATGTGTGGACAACCTACAAAGTCCACTTTTGGAAGGGGTCCCATTGCCACAATCTCAAGGTGTGTGAAGGTTGTCATGCTGGTGGAATGGACTCTGGGGAGCCGAGAGGGTTTTCTGGGCTGTTCTGATCATCACACACAGTGCAGGGACCATGTGCTCTTTGGTGTCCTGCCCTAGATGTTGACGGTACAGCACTGAAAAATGAGACACACCTTTAGAGTTAGGATCTAAAGTCTATATGGGAAGCCAAAGTTGAGATGGGTCAGGATACCTAGAGAATTCCTTAAGGATTAGCTGGCTTGATGTAGAGCCCAGACTGTACGTTTGTACACTAGAATCCCTTTAGGATGGTGTTGTGTGCAGACACATCCCACATCCTCACTTACTCGTGCCTTCACCGAGCAGTGAGCCCTGTAGAAATGGCAGTGCTATTTTTTCTATTGCTGAGTCAAGGCCAACAGATGCGTTCTCTATTTGGTCACAAGAATAGTTGCACTAGCGGTCTTCATATGCCCTCTGCAGGCCTGCTGGGTATCCTAACATGGCAGTTTTCATCTCAGATAGAATGGCTCCAGAAGCCACTCCTGTATAAATCCACCGGTCTTTGTTCCCGCTGGCCTCCAAGGTTTTGGTGGCTTTGGTAGTCCCAGACTGGGCGTATGCCTGTGGCACCATAAAGGTGATCTTCCAGCACTTGGTGGCCCCACTTCCTTTTCCTTTCTGAGGAGGGAATCACAACAGAACGTCCAAGGAAAATCAAGATTAGAAAACTTGCTAGTTTAAGAGAGAAACATGTGTGGCAAGGGCCAGGTCGGCTGGGGCAGACAGCTTTGAATAATAAGGCTTCCAAGAGTCTCTGCCTCCCGCACCCATTCCGTCTGTCAATGTGGGTTCCTCCCCAGTGTGTGCAACAGGACTAGGGTTTTCACAGCAGCAGATGGCTCTTTGGATCTCTGCAGTCTCTGGCTCTTTCCTACAAGCTAAGAACTGTGTGGTGAGCCGGGCTCCTCACTCGTTCTGTGAAATGCTCTCAGCTTTGGCCAACCACTGCATGTATGTAGCCTGTGAGAGACGCTAGACCAGGGGCCCAGCCAGACTTCTCCCTCCATGGCTCAGGAGCAGATAAATGTTACTTTAACACTAGACAGTGCTCTACCACCGACTCACATCTCCAGGCAGCCCTAAATCCATTGAAATTTTAGAGTCATTTACTGTTAATAACCAAGTTCTGAGAAACAGGTGGAAATGAACCTAAATATTATAAACATTTCCGTTTACCACCTGGAGCAGCAAGGAGTTCTCCTGAGACAGATCCCAGTAGAAAATCTACCAACAGGATTTGTAAGCTATAAGCCACCTTTGGGCCTTACTTCCTAGTGTGCACAGTGGGAGGGGAGGCAGTGTGGGTAAGGAAGGCACTCTCTCCCAGGTGGGCTACCCACAGAGTGCTCTGTGAGTCAAGCCCCACTGAGGCACAAGGACACAGGTGGCCAAGCCTGAAAGAGGCTGTCCGCCTGCTGCTCAGCTCCCAGGTGAGAGCTGGCTGTGTGGCAAAGAAAGGGCAGCACAGCATCCTTTTCTTGTGAACATTTTAATGCAAACAATATAGTGTTTCCGACCCTCGGCATTTGTAAAGAAACAGCGCTCGGACGGGGTTAGCAGCGTGTTTGTGGAAATGAGGTGCAGTTACAACCACCCAGCCCCAAATACCCCAAACCCAAGAAGCCAGGCATTGTGGCCCACACTTGTCAACCTCTACTGAAGAGGCTGCAGCAGGAGAATCACAGTGTGTTCCAGGCTAGCCTGGGCTACACAGCAAGGCTCTGTCTCAAAAAACCAAAACTAAACAAATTAAAAACCAAACAAAAACCAAAGAGAAATTCTTGTCAAGCTCCTTTGAAAGCTGATGTTCCAAAGTCTGGGACTTGTCTTCTCTAGGAAGTTCCATTCCTAATAGAGTGGGGTGAAGAAGGTTCAGGCTCTTTGTCATTAAAGACCACAAGCAGTCTCATCCAGACCATAATGTCCCCTGACTCCCTTCTGCACACAGAAGACAAACACTTTAAGATAAACTTAGGTGACTCAATTTTATATGACAAGCCTGTTGCCAACGCAACTATCAAGAAAGGTTTGAAGAAACACTGTCTGAGAAACGAGATTACAAGAAGAGCCTGTGGATTTCTTCTCTGCAACAGTGAGGCCAACCTTTCATGTCTTATCAGAAATAATGGGCACAGTGTTTATTGTAAGCCTGAACCACGAGGACAGAGCAGTAAGATAGGAGGCCCGCTTGACAGTGGCAATGTCAAATTAATAGCTTAGTTATGGCGGGTCACAGACTGAAAAGGCCTCCATTTCCTGTGTTTGGATGAAGTCACAATCCAACAGTGGTTAAAAGTGTAGAAGATGGAAGGCAACTCTGTCCTCTGGGAACTGACAGCCTGCACCTGAACTGAAGGCAGAGCTGCTCCAAACACTACATGCCACTTTCAGCTCCTCTTCAGATCAAATGGGGCCAAAAGGACCAGGTCCTGGAGCACCCAGAACTTCTTCCTGAGGCCTCCAGAGCCCTAAAGACATCTTTCTGCAGGCAGCAAGCACACGGCTTAATTCTTCTAGACGGAACCACTTCAGATTTATGCCAGTGGAAAGCAAACATTGTTTGTAAGCCATTTAATTGTGTTACTGTCTCTCAACTTTATCAGATGCTGCTGAGGCAGAGAGGCCGATGTGCAGTCCTGGGGGAGGCTTTATAGCAAACCCAGGCTCCCTCTAAATGCCCACAGCCCAGAGTCCCTAATGTAGTGTTTTCCAGATGTAAAAACTATCAATTCAACAGGTTCAAATGGCAATTGTCTCAATCCAGGACCCACACTGTGGGCTGCATCTTCAAATCGACAACCTTGATCTCAGAGCCACGACTGGGTGCTAGGCTTGTTTATTATATTCTTTGGTTAAATATAGTTTCTAGACTTCTCAGTATTGTGGGAACCCAGACAGACTAAAAACATGTTCCGCTTTGCATACTGAATTTACACTGTATGCACACTATTATGAATTTCTATAATTAGGTCAGACTTATAAAAATGTAGGGCTTTGTTGCTTGTTCTGAGAACACATTCTCTGGGCGCCAGCATCGCAGACGCGGACTCCAAGTCTCTTGACAGAAGCTGCACAGTGCGTGCTCGGGAGGCGGGTCAGCTCATCATGTCCAGGCTACACAGCTCAGAGTGGCTGTCACTACGCAACGCCTCTGCCACATCTCTTCTGAAGATGGAGAGGTTCTGTGTGAACCTGTGGAGAGAGAAGCGGTGAGCTGCAGGTCGAATGAAAGCTGGAGGGAGGGCAGCGTGGAGCTTGGGCCCCAGGAGAGGATCCTGCAGGAAGGCTCCACGGTGCTGGGTGCTCATTTGGCCACCATCCTCCCCTGAAAAGAAGTCACCACCAAACCCACTCTGACAGCTTAGGGTTGGGGACATCTGAAGTTCTACATAGAAAACATTAAAAAACTGTTTACACTATGCCTCAAATACTGAATTGAGCTTACAGATGAATGCTTTCATCATTGCATTCTTCCCAAAGGTAGGTATTATTAGGATTTCAACTGAAACAGAATTTAGTGATTGAAAAATGGGGGCAGTGGGAAGTGGAAGCTCCTGTCCGTATGTCCAGCAGTCAGACAGCAGAGGTAGAAGGATCATGAGTTTGAGTCTGAGGCTAGCTGGCATCTCTGTGATGAAACTATCTCAGAAAACAGCACAAACGTGCAGAGGTGTGTGCCCTCAGTTTGGTAGAATACTTGTGCACTGTGCATGAAGCCCTTAGTTTGATCCCCAGCACTACATAAACTGGACATGGTAGCCTATGCTTGTGATCCCAGCACTTAGGGAGTGGAGGATCAGAAATTTCAGTTATCCTTGGAGGTCAGTGAGAAGGCTCAGTGGGTTAATGGAGGTGTTGCCAAGTCTGATGACCTGAGTCAGGTCTCTGAGAACCAACATAGTGGAAGGAGAGAACTAACTCCTGCCGAGCTGTTCTCTGATAGCTGCCCCCTAAATAAATGTAATCATAAAAAGTTAGCCTTGTCTACATAGTGAGTTTGAGACCTGCCTAGGCTATATAACACTGTTTAAAAAAAACAAACCTAAAAAGGTGCACTGGGTTATACTGAATGAATGAACAAAATTTATGCCCTGGCAATGCTGAAGCATACATGGGCAGCCTGTATATGGCGCTTCTGTTGAACTTGTCCATATTGGGTTTCATGGTCTAAGTTGATGAGTACGACTGACCATGTCTCTTCCTCAAGAGGCACCAGATCTCATTACAGATGGTTGTAAGCCACCATGTGGTTGCTGGAACTTGAACTCTGGACCTTTGGAAGAGCAGACAGTGTTCTGAACTGCTGAGCCATCTCTCTAGCCCCCACTGGGTTATACTACCTGCATCCATATTTTGGTTCTACTACTACTATCTAGGCAACCTGAATGACTAGCCACTTGGCCTAGTACCTAATATGAGTAACTAACTGTCTTAAGGGAATGCAGGAGCGAATTTTATCAAGTCAATGAGACAAGGCCTGAAAACATTCTCTCTACACAGTGGGCGCAATGACAGCAGCCAGTCCTTGCTGCCGTTCTTTCTTGAGACTAAGAGGACTGCCCATACTATTTCACAGAGCAGCTCAGAAATGCCACTTAAACATCCTGCCTCTCCTTTTCCAGCTTCTGAGGTTGCCCCTTTCTGGATGTGAGAGCATTGCTTAAGAGTTTGATGAACGGCCAAGGGAAGGTGCCTGCACCCCAGCTGACCTTGCCTTATTACCACAGCTCATACCTGGGCTCCACTGCCTCCTGGGTGACAGACAGCGTCTGCTATAAATGCTCGAGTGTCTGATGAAAGGTCAGGGAGGAAGTCTTCCCTGAGCACATTTTCTTCTTCCTTATCAGTGACTACTGTCTGTCTTACCATTAGGAAGTGAGCTCCACGAGGCCAGGAGCTCGGAATAGTTTATTTACCATGGGTTCCATATGCTTCTAGTTTTATAAACTGAATAAATGAATTCATTCGTAGTGATGAATTTGGTTAGACCTCACTGGCCAATGACATCAGGTACTCTGAAATAACACGCAGAGGAAGAAACCAACACCTAACGGCTCACTGGCCTCAGGACCATTTTGCTGTCTAGACACCACATTCAGTGCCATCACTGTCTCCTTACTGTAGAAGAGACTCAGCAGAGAAGTTGCTGCTTTTCTCTCACGCAGCTTACAGAAGCAGGGATAACATTAGCTGGGGTGTCCACCCCCTAGGCCTGCGCTTGTTCAAAGGCCAGAAGTCCTTCTGCATCTCCATGGACAATGTAAGTTCCCCTTCACTTGCTCTTTCCTGTTGGATTATAACTGTTTAAGGGCAAAGGCTGTATTTTTTAAATCTTGGCATCTATGAGCAAATACCCAGTAAAATGTAGTGACTGGGACTGGCCTGGGTCTAAGATCACAAGGTGTAATGGGAAAGCTGTACCAATCCGTGAGCTGTGCTAACTGTAGTCCTGTTGTTTTCAGCAAGCCTGGAATGCTTCTAGAGATCCCCTGCTGGGCAATGCTCACCTGTCTCTGTTCTTGACAGACAGGTTCTGTTCCACTCCTTCCATCAAGTTCCTGAAACACTGGGCAAGGACTTCCTGCTTGGGCAGAGGCTGGCTGTTGATCAGGCTTGCTCTCAGTTCACTGAAATACTGTTGGGAGAGACAGTGTCAGCTGGGCTCCAACTCCAACCCTCGCAGGAAGCCAGGCCAGCTGGGGTCTCCTTGTGCTCCCTGATACTCGGGTTTGCATCCACACTCAACTTTCTATCCTTAGAGAAAACCCAAGCTGCACAAGCATTCCTAGGTGTACCTAGTGCCCTCCCTGCTCTTAAGAGTCTTTTGCTGTGACTGCTGCATTGTTATTGCTTAGCCTGATGGAATCCTTGCCTTCTCTGTGGGAGACTGAACCTGGTCTTCTGGGGTCTCAACTCTACTTGTCACAGGAAGGCTGAAAGAAGAAGGGCCTCAAGCTGAGGAGGACTTAACCTAATGCCCGGGAAGCACTTGGGTGACTGAAGGCAAGGCCAACGGTCTCTCCTTCAGCCTCACTTCTCAAAGTTCTTAGCTCTGGGAGCACTTGCTGGCACACCTGGTAGCCCCCTCCTTTTCTGCTGGGCTCTGTGGTCTTGTACACAGAAACAAGCTGTGATGTTGAGCGGAGCTACTAATCACTGGAAACAGCCAATTTCAGCAAAAGACAACATTTTGCCAGTCACATGTTTATCTCTTCAAGCCTAAGCTGTATGATACTTAATTTCCATCATACATTAAAACAGCTCACATCAAAAAACACACATAATTAATATGTAGTCAGACTAATATTTAAATGCTATATATCAGAGGCATTATACTTGAAGCACAGTGTCTTCCTGAACAAGATTGGGAATGCACGGAACTACTTATTTTTCCCTTTATAATGATGCGGTGACTCACACCAAATAGAAAATTATTAGTTTTTCATCCTAAACCATGAAATATTGCCTCCATCAGTAAAGTATAATATTGTGATGTCATAAGCTTTTTCTAAACACCGAATTTACCCTTATTCCCTCTCAATCATTTTAAAAGAACTGCTCTCTTTTATAGAGCTTGGATTTAAATCACAATAACACCGAGGGAAGATGAATGACAGCGCTATTGAATGTGGCTAAAATTGGATACTTCGGCACAGGTGAATGATGAGACAGCTCTTCTCTTTTTGATATATTTTCTTCTTCTATTAGTTTCCTTCCAAGGCTGGGATTTTCGTTTGAATTTTAATGTATGCGGCTGCCTCTAATCTCACTGTCTTTTCCCAGTACTATCTTATTGTATAGACAATTCATTCTCCCAAGCAGTAATGCACTGTTCCTACCGACTGTTGAGAGGCCAGAGTGCTGGGAGGCAGTCTGGTGGTCAGAGCACTGTGGAGGCACGGGTGCGTGCTTCCCGAATGAAGGGTGCTGGCCCTAGGTACACTCCCTCAAGGCCGCTGCTGTCATCTCATGTGGTCGTGTCTGGGTCCCCAGATACAAAGACAGGCTGGAGGAGAAGGCAAAAGGGCTGTTGCTGCTCAGAATTCCCGTGGAGTGGCAAGGCAAGTGAGTGATTTCAAGATACGGCTCAGCATTCCACACACAGTGTAGTGCGTGGGCCTCTGTGGCCTCTGTTAACTGAAGACCTGAAGCCTTTGAGGAAAGGACTTCTGGGTTGTCAAGGCCCCAGCTCTCTATCCCATGGTCTTCAGTGTCTAATAGCCCCTCCCTCCTCCTGTGGCCCTTCCTGAAAGCACACTTACCTTCTCATTGAGCAAGATGAGACCTAGGAGAGGCCTAGATACTGACCACTGGTTCCGACAGTCTTCAAAGACAATGGTATTCATAAGGACAGACATCATCTAGAAGACAGAGTCACATGGAAATTGGGACAATTTGGCTTAGAGCTTGCCTGAATCTCAGACTTTCTATGTACTTCTTACACTCTTCCACCTTTCTGATGACAGGAGTGCTTTTCCTAGATAGCTGGCTCTCACTCTGGAAGCCTAGGAGGTTACACAAACTCTGGGCAAACCCCGTTTCTCCAAGTAAGAATCTTTACTACCAAAAGCTTGGTGAGAACCTTCTTGGTGAGCAGAAGTCGGGGTCAGAGCCACAAGGGTCAGTCTCTGCTTTTCAAGCCTTAGCCTTATATGCTCTGGGCTGTGCCAGGCACCATGCACATGCCCAGCTCACCTTCCTGTCTTGCTCCTCACCTCATTGAACAGTCCATGCTACGAAGGAACATCTCTCTGCAGCTCGTCACTGAGTGGAATGGAACACTTTCCCTGTGACCCTGGAATAGGACTCTTCCTGCTAGCTCAGGAAGTGTCTTCTTTTGAGACAGGGTTCTCTACGTAACAGTCCTGGCTGTCTTGGAACTCACTCTGTAGACTAGGCTGGCTTCATTGAGATCCACTTGCCTCTGCCTTCTGAGTGCTGGGATTAAAGGCGTGCACCACTACCGCTCAGCTCAAACTGTTGCTTTTAAAACCATTCTTCATTACTAACTGCTCACTCAATGCTACATGTATATACTTATCCATGCTCTTAACTTTTGAGTTTGTAAGTCACACAGAAGGGATAATAGGACGTAAGCATCTACCAGTCTCTTACCTAGGGCCTCAGAGTTTGCTAGGGAAGTCACCAAAAGAAATAGTGGAAAAAGGTCTAGGAAAAGAGCAGCAGCCTGTGGAGGGGTGGAGGAAGAAAGACTAAGTTCTTCAAGGACAGTCAGGGAGATGCCACAGGGCAGGTACCATCTAAGGAGTTCACCATAAGCAGACAAAGAAGCAAAAAGAAGGTGGGACTGAGCAGGGTGGGTTCTGCAATATTAAGGGATCCCATGGCCAGAATGGAAGGCCATGCTGAGACATGTGGAGTGTGCCCTGGGCAAGACACACAACAGGCAGGAGGGCAGGGATAAGGCTGCTACAACAGTGCAGGCTGTGAAGTGGGTTCGGTTCTCCCACTGCCGCCTATCTGCTCCCATAGCTCTAGGGAGGACAGATGAAAAGGCAATCACACGGCAAGACCCACAAGCACCACTCCAACACTCTAAGAGTTGGTTTGCTTTGGATGCATTTAGTGTTATCATTTGGCAACTTCTCTTTTTGCAAAAGTATGCAAGTGTAGTGTGTGTGTGTGTGTGTGTGTATTTACATGTGTAGAATGTAAGGGTGAAGTTGGGTGTCTTCCTTAAACACTTTCCGTATCACTGAGTCAGTAAGCTAATTATTGCTGAACCCACAGCTTGAAGATACTGCCAATTCAGCCGATCAGTGTGTTCCTGCCTCCTGAGTACTGGGATTAGAGCTATGCTTCCACACTCACCCAGCACTTATGCATTTATGTAGGTTATGGGATCTGAACTCTGGTCATCATGATTGCACAAATGATTATCTACTGAGCCATCTCCCTGCCCCTGGCAAAAGTTTGTGGTGATCTAATTACCCTGTGATCTCTGGCAAGTAACGGAACTGTTCTTGCTGTGTCTGTTTTCATTAGCTCTGAAGAGGGAAATAACTCAGTTCAAGGAAGCTGAGAATTAAATGAGATGGTGTCTGAAACTGTGGCAAAGCGAACATTCTATAGACACTGCAGGCGTGCATCACGACAGCGATGCGCGTCTATAGCTCTCGACAGCTGCCATTCCCTGCACCAGCACAATGATTAGGCTGCTCACAAATGAGTGTGCCAATCTATATAAAAACACAAGCACTGCATGTCCAGTCTCTCTGGAGAGGTTAGAACTCCATGCCGGGCATCCTTTGTAGACCGCAAGTTCCCATGAACAATCTAGCAAGCCACCCAAAGTCATAGAGCACAAATTAAATTGACAAGCAAAAGTAACAGATCCATGGAGACAGTCTAAAATATTATGGGCTTCACAATCTGAAGCAGAATGGATATTTTAATGGAGAAGATTAAAGTTAGAGGCACCAAATTCTACCAGTATCTGACAAAGCATCCTGGAGTGATGTGCCAATTACTTTATACGGTTCTCTCGTGTATTCATTTGTCTGAATGCATGTATTTATGTCTGTAATAAGTAAGGGCATGTTTGAATAAAATACTTTTCTAAAAATAAAGTTGGCAAAAATGAGTACTTTTTTTCTTTTTTACTTTTCTGGAAATATGTAAAGTACCAAGTAATCTTCTTAAATGGCATTGATGTGACAGCCAATTTCCAGAATTATTTTTTCTAATAATCTTAGAGCAGTGGTAAACAGTCCGGCCAATGGGGTCCGAGTTTTCCTCCCCACCTAGAGGAAGACTGGGTGCCCTGCTGAAGAGCAGTCCCTTTCCCTTGCAGGTGGTGTGAGGTTTAGATGGGAGTCTCCGAGGTCAAGGACACTGTGAGTCAACACTGCAAGGAGCAGTCTTAATTGTACCCACCAGCCCACATGAGGACTCGGTGTAGCAGCTGGGTATCTAGTTTTCCGGTGTCTACTCGCTCCCAGCACTGCTGCAGGGAAGGGTGGAAGGCCACTTTAAATCCACTTTGGCTACATTTGCCAGGGCCTATACTCAAACCATACACGTAGCTATTTTGCCAATGCAGGGATGGGATTGTCTAGCAGGGGTGCTACCTACTTAGAAAATCATACTCTACATTCTTTCATTTGATTCCTCATTCCTCATTTAGTTCTTCCTTCTTACAGATTTTGGCTGGAATTTTGTTCAGTGATGTGGTAGCCACAGGCATTAGACTCAGTACTGAGTTCAAGTATGGTCCTGCTTTATAACCCATGGCATTTTCCTTTATGTCCTCAAATATAAAGTAGGGTCCATCACAGCTGATGTGAAGGGGACAGAGGGAGACATGATTTCCTATGTATAAATCAAATATCTGGAATGTGCTTGCCGCACAGTATACCTTAGACATAATGTTCCCATACTGCAACTGTGGCTTCCCTCTGGCTAAAGACAATGGGGCCGCATGGCTCAAGGAAGAACAGCAGCTCTAGAGAGATGAAAGGGATCACTATGGTCTCTTCAAAGTTGTCTAACTTCATGCAGGGTTGTAGTCTGAGCAGGAGGCAGTCAGAAAGTACCCCATTTGCTTCTTTGGGGTATTAGCATAGATTTGAATGAGCGCGCTCTGCTGCAATCATGTAAACACAGGTAAGGACACATTACAAATGTATGACCCAGAGTGAGAAGTGATGACGTGTGTTCTCTGTTCACACCCCCTGACAAGGGCGTAAGACACAAGTACAGAGCAGAGCAGATCCTAACCTAACCCCCTGGGCCACGAAGGAGACACCAAAGAGACCTCTCCGGCTCCTCAAATGCCACAGGTTTCTGCTGTACTGTCTGCTGAAGTAGACGAGCCAAGGGAGCTGACCTTGGACACTGTCCTGCTAAGCCAACGAGTGCACACTTGAAGTGAGGAGCACATACAGAAAGCTGAACTTGTGGCCTTAATTTATGGCTAACACATGGAATAGTTAAACATCTAAACTCTAACAGGCAGTTCACTTTCAAGGATCTTCTTTTTGAAAACAGACTGAGAACTCTAAGCCAGGGGATTCCAGTAAGGGCTGTGGCTGGGGTTTTCAGGCTACACAGGCCAAAGTCTGAGGCATGGCCACTTTTACCAGCTCCCACCCAACAGTAAGCAGGGCCTGATGATTGTCTCATTTGTGGGGTGTGCGGGTGCTCACATACTGCCAGGCACTGCATAGCTTCCTATTCTCAACTAACCCTGGGGAGAGCATCAGCTGTCTCACAGTTGGGAGAGGTCAAGGTGCTGCTAAGGATGCAAACACTAATCCAGGTCACCTGCAGAGCTCAGCCTGATCACTGTGCCAGCCTGGGCCGCCACCCCTCGGGCTCTTCTGAGGCTCAGAGCACCTGGCAGTGACTGACAGGAAAGACTCACTCTTCCACCCTGAGTGTCCTCCTGCACATGTCACCCTTGTGTGCTTTAGTGGCTTCTGGCTGCAGAGTCATGGAGACGTTGAAGTTCCGTGATTAGAATCCAGGGCATGGCTTCTGACAGGTTTTCAGCGAACCTTTCTGTTCCCCACACAAAAGGTTTACAGATTTAGTTAATGTTATTGATAGATTGTGAAAGTGAACAACAGCAAACTTAAGACTATCTCTGGAAATTGATACACTGAACACTTTCATGGAAAACAATGACTTCCCTCCTACTGAGTAACAAACTTTATATTAACAGCATAGAAATGAGTAGGCTAATTTTCTCTAGGTTATATAATCTTCCTACAAAGTAAATGTTTCCAATGGGTAGTGGAGACACACACCTTTAATCCTCCACTCGGGAGGCAGCGGCAGGCAGAGCTCTGTGAGTTCAAAGCCAGCCTGGCCTGGTCTGGAGAGTTTCAGGACAAGTTCCAAAGCTACAGAGAAATCCTGTCTTGAAAAACCACACACACACACAAAAGTAAATGTTTCCATTGTCAACACTTGAACATGCTGAATACTATAACACACAATCTGTGAAGTTGTAAGAAATGAATGAAACAAAACTAAGATTTGCATCTTGTTTCCATTTGTACTCCACAGAAAACCCAGGCCTGACAGGATGAGTGCGGGCACTGCAGGGACCAGATTCTCAGTCTACTTAGGGGACTCCAGCTCTTCCCTACCTGTCCCAGCCTGCTAGTGAGACAGGCAGAAAAGAGGCCTTATCCTCTGGTTAGCACAGAGGAGAGCTAGCAGAGCCAGGCTAAGGGGTTAGAGACCTAAAAAGCAGCCCCGTGTCCTAGCCCTGGAGGGCTGAGGGAGACTAAAGAAGGACAAGCCAGGGTGCAGAGAGGGCCAGGGTGCAGAGAGGGCCAGGGTGCAGCGAGGGTCAGGGTGCAGCGAGGGTCAGGGTGCAGTGTGGGCCAGG